TTCTAGACACTGAAGGGTCCTGGGAGGCTGGCTCCTTCTTTTCAAGCCTCCCCCCGCCCCAACCCCAGCCTCCTACCCCCAACCTGGGTCTTGCCCATTTTCTCCAGAAGATGTTCAGCAGGCACCAGTCTGGCACCGCCAGTCTGGCAGCAGGGTGGGGTGGGGACCTCGTGGGCATAGCCAGGGGCTGGGGTTTCCCTGGTGCTTGGAGGCAGGGGTGGGGGGGGAGGGATGAGTCACCGGGTGACTCACCGGTCCCCCACCCCCCCACACCCCAGGAGAGGAGGGGGGTGAGTCAAGGATGCCTGTCTCTGGGGGAAGCCCCCAGCTTCTGATGAACCTGGGATGGCATGAACTTGAATTTTCATATCCTGGCCCATATGTGCCCAGGGTCAGGACTCTGAGGAGACACTGCTGGTCCAACTCACTCCTGGACCCGAGTCCACCCCTGGCCTGCTTCAACCCCTGGGGGATCCAGGAGTTCAGGCCCCCAGCATCCTCCCCGCGCAGACTCAAAGGGTCCGGGTTCCCGGCCCCTCTTCTCCAGCATGCCCTGGAGTCTGGACTCAGCCCCCTTCTCCACCAGGATCCGAGGGGGCTCAGCCGCCCCTGTCCCAACCTCCTGAAACAGCCATCTCCTGACAACCCCCCATCGCCGGCTTCCACGTAGCCATGTCCCTCCTCCTGCTGGTGGTCTCTGCCCTTCACATCCTCATTCTCATCCTGCTTTTCGTGGCCACTTTGGACAAGGTAAGCCTACTCCAGCAGCGGGCTATCTTCTCCCGAAGGCTCCCGCCACGCCCCTCTTCTGAAGCCACTCTGGCCCCGCCCCTTTTCCCTAGCATCTCTCCTTCTGAGCCCTGGCTCGGATGCGTCTCCCCTGCCCTTTTCTGCCCTGACTGTCCCCCCCGACCCCTTCTCACTAAATCCATGCTTTGCCCCCAGTTCAGCGCCCTCCAGCCCCTCACCCTTTCCCTAACCCTCCCCACAATCTCCCTGACCCTGCACACTTGCCTTTCCTAACCCTGCCCTTGTCTCTTGGTCCATCCCAGTCCTGGTGGACCCTCCCGGGGAAGGAGTCCCTGAATCTCTGGTATGACTGCACATGGAACAATGACAACAAAACGTGGGCCTGCAGTAACGTCAGCGAGAATGGTGAGGGGCATCGGGGACCCGTCTGCCAGGGGAGGGGTAACCCCGGTCTCTTCCCAGAATCAAGAATTAGGTAGGAACCCTTCAGAGTTTGAGGGGGCAGGTCTGGGCCCCAATGCTCAGTGAGTGGGGCTGATTATGACCCACTTTTCTGGGTGGTAGGGGGGGTGATATGCTCATGTTCTAAGGAGGATCGGCTAAAGGCCCCCCTCCCTTTTGATTCAGAAAGAGTGGAGGCCACATGCTATAGGTTTAAGGAATGGGGAGAGAGCTCCCAAGATTCTGAGAAGGTAGAATTATGTTCTCGAAGTTCTAAGGAGAGGAGACTGGTGTTTGGAATGGATGGCTGGGACCAATTCATTGAGTTCCAACAAAAGA